TGTGGGGGAGCGCATGTATGTGTGTAATGTGCACATACTTTAATCTAGTCTTCAAAAAAAGAAAAAAAATCAATCCTCAATGTTGCATATTGTTTGTTCTAAATTTACTTTTACTGGAATCCGAGCTTTTTTTTTCCACCTGGAAGAAAGTTTCTATTTAAGCAGTTTGAAGCAAAATGTGACTTGATGATAAATTTGTAGGCTCGTGCATCCGGGGAGGGGGTGGATATATAAAGCTTGGCGATCTGGGGAGTAAAAGAAATCGGGTTAATTAGTGCTTATGCTGGACTGATAACTTTTGTTAACATAAATGCTATTCTGGCCTGCTGACATTTTGATGAGAGCTCTTGATTTCAGTGATGACAACTTAAGAAACAGATGTCATGTTTCATACCTTTTTTATCAGGAAAAAAGCAGCAAGCCTTCAGGTGTTCCAGTGATGCCTAACACATAATGAGCTGGACTTTATGCTGTACTTTACATAGGTGTGTTGAATTGTTTTTGGGGAACTGTGTATGCACTGGCAACTAAGACAATGAACCTCAACTGTACTGGATGGCTCCTTAGTCGATGTATGAATTAACGGCAGCTAAACTGCTACTAAAATAGTTTCTTCATGCTGAAGCTATGAAATCCAGTGATACTTTCTGTTCCTCAGCAAACTCACAAGTCTGAAATTTAGCGGTTTCTCAGAACGATGTAACTTCTGACACATGCAAAATGCTAACGTGAGTTCATTCACCCTCAGGATCTGTGTTGTATTGGCTGTTTTTAATCAGATGGTTTTTCAACAAAAGACTGCTTTAAGTTCTTACCTGAACTCAGCTGGGAAAGCAGTCCTCTTCAGCTGAATGTAGTACCTGCAGGAGCGTCACACCTCGCTGGCAAGGAACGTGTTGCATGTCACCACTGTACCTTGGAGAAACTCCACTTACCTCCTCTGTTTATCTGGTTTGCTCCTGTTCCATTTCTCACTCGTGCATCTACTCGATGGTGCTGTGCTGTGTGTCAGGAGATGATGCAGCTGTATCACTGTTCTGCTAGTATAATGAATTTTTAATTGAGTATGCTGATGAAATAATGAAATCATCTAAGCAATTTCTGTTCATTACACTGTTTATTAATTATATCAAATGAAATGTAATCCCAGAAGGAAAAAAAAACAAACAAACAACAGTTAATGTTGTCAATTGTGAAACGAGGAGCATAAAGTAGGAAAGTGTTTGCAGAGTCTGTACAGGGCTGCGTGGCACCTGGGATGTGGCAAGGAGACCAGCAGAGTCCTGCTGGGCATTTCTTCATTCTGCTTTATTTCGATCTGACTGCAGTCTACTGGTGCCATGCTGTGAGAGGAAGAGAAAGGAAGGAAGACATTGGAAGTGAAAGAGGAATGGAATTTTCAAATACTTCTGCTTTGCCTACGTGTAGTCTGCAGAATACATTGTGCTTTAATAAAACCCCAGACAACACTTTTCTTTCCACGCAAACACTGAAGCAGCATGTTAATGCCCAAACTTTACCAGTACCAGTGGGAAAACTGGACTTTCCCCCCCGTAGTATGAAAACATAACTTGTAAGGTAAATTGCTTATTTTATATTCTATATCATAATTCAGCTATTCATAAGCTAGGATCACTGTTGTGTGTTAACACTGTTCAGAAGATCTACAAGTTTGCTTTCTAATGATTTCTTTTAATTATCAAGTTTCTAACGTCTTATTTATACATGAATGAAATGTACTCACTTGCTATTACTCCTTGATGATGCTATACAAGTTCACTGTTTAATACACATAGAGTAACGACTATTCAGCTTCTGATTAAATTTACTTAAACTTTAAAACCAAATAGTTTTGCTACTATAAAGTCTTGCACTGGACATTTCAAGATGATAGCACCATATTTTGGCAGGAAAAAAACAAAGCAGATACCATCCATCAGCAGAGGCTAACAGTGAAATTGAGTTCAGTATTTTTAAAATCAGCTGTTAGCCTTGTTGTTAAAGCAGCACTCTTTATATCTTGGATTTAGTTCAATCAAAATAACTACGTATCAAGAGCCATTTAAGATCTCTGTTTTGAAGGAATATGTTTTCACTTCAGCTGAAAGATCTGAGAGTTTGGTCGGGACAAAACCAAGCCTTGTCAGTGAAAAGTGATGTGTCTATGAAAAGAATTACTTGGAACGACAGTACACAGAGTAATTCAGATGTGAATTGAACTCCCTTCCCCCTTTTTGAAGAGCTTTAAAAGGCAGAGTGAAATGAAGTCATTTGTCTGCTGGCTTCGTTAACCGAGACTCTGCTATTCTTTGTTGTATGTATAATAACATTTCATGCTATCCCTAGAGTTGACAGTTAAAACAGTTGATAACAATCATAAATACTTTGACCTGCAGACCTAATTTCTGACCACAAAAGAAGTTTATTCTTCTCTATTTTAATGCATATATTTTAACACTGCTTAAATATATTTATGACTTTAGTAGAGACTAGACTTTTCTCTTTAAGTTTTTTTTTCAGATAGATAAATCTGTATTCTGAAGTTTGGAACCACTTTCTGATACTTTAACCTTTCATCGTTTGCTTTTCCACAGGTTTACTTTGGGGAAACAGTAATCTGTTAAATATCTAGTATCAGCACCCTGTCCTCTGCTGTAAAAAGCCTGATTAGATACTGTGTATGTTTTTATGTCCATGAACTTGAGCTACTCGTGTGCAATTATGTGTATGGGAATGGAGTAGTGTTCATGATCTGTATTTACATCATCATATGGATGTATATTTATTAATAAAGTTAATACTTTACAACCTAACAATTATTTCCTACATGCATTTTGTTTTAATATATGTATTTTAAATTCTGGCTTAAGATTCCTATTGCCAACGTATCAGACCAGTAACTTTAACCTGTCTCTGCTGTAAACAGGAATTTTCTTCTCCCAGTGTCTCTGTTGCAGGTAAGTGTAGAACATTGTGGTGCAACTTGTACAGATGTTGCTTAAAATCAGGTGATCGGTTTTGCTCTTTGTCTGCCTGAAGTGCAGGTGAGTCCAACTACAACAGACTGTGTTTGTGCTCGTGTGGGCTGAAAAACGCATCAAGAATTTGTGAGAGTTGGAGGACATTCATAAATTACACAGTTCAGGCTTTTTAGCATTCTTGGAGGTTGCTTTACTGCTCACGTTTATCACAGGTTACAGCTTCTTCGTATGGACAGACAGGCAGTGTGTGTTTGCCAGCTGTGCAAGTTGGACCTTAAAAAAGCTCTACAGTGGTTTTATCTTCCTGATAATGCTGTTTGTGTGTCTGATTTGACACCGGGGTGTGCTTTGGAGCTGGACTGGCATCCTAATGCTCTCGTGAAGTACCTGTCTCAATGGGATCTCTTCCAATAGCACAAACAATATAGTGTAAATTAGCAACATCGTACCTATTCAGAAAGATGGCTCAACAAAGTGCCTTTTTGGACCAAGAGAAATGAAAATTGTTCTTAACAGTTAATCCGTAAAGCTGTAATTCCTAAAGATAAGGGCCTGCCTTGCTGACTTGCAGTGTGCTGTTCTTACCAGGCTTCTGCCTGTGGCTCTGTGTATGGCTTATCATGTAAGGGAGAGGTGTGGCCTGACATACAGGATTGACAGCCCAAAACTACAGTGCTCTGCAGCTGGCTTGCACCCAGGTTCCCCGCATGGCCTAGGGATGGCAATGTCTCACTTCCTCCCATCAGTGAAAGCATGGCAAAAAAAATCTGCTTATCATGCAGGGTTCCTGGAAGGAGTCATTAGCAAACAACTTTTAACTGCTTTGAAGCTGCACTGTGTTGTGGAATTGTCAGGTGGTATTTAAATGATCTGAGGCAGATCCTGCCTTTCACGCTGTGTTTTTCGTACCAGAAAACCTTGTTTCCAATTAGTGAAAAAATATCACAGTGGCAATTGGTGTGATTTTGATTATTTAGAGTAGGCCTCAGAGATACGCATAATACTAAAAGTGTTTTTCTGCTGCTTTGTGTGGTCATCTTTGTAAATGTTCAGCTCTGCCCATTTTGAGAGAACAGAAGGCAAAGTCACACCTCCCATATGTAGTGTAAGGTAGAGCTGCCTGTGTGACCTCAGTCTCTGTTCTGACTTGAATGCTTTTGTTTTCTTCTCATGCTGTTGAACACACAGAAAATCAGCTGTGAGGATTACGAGTGAATGGAAATGTGAAGACCTTGGCGTTGTCTCTGTTCCATTCTGTTGTCTTTCACTCCTTACATTGCCAGGGAAGGAGCTTGCTTGCTGTGACTGAAATCCAGCTGCCTTAATACACGGTGCACAAATGGCTGACTGATGTTTCAGTGTTCATCCGTGGCTGCGACACAAGACTCGTATCACACAAGTCCTCTTTCCAACAAACAGCTTTTTTATTGTATGACTGATTCTTGAATAGATGGTCAGCAGTGTGTGGGGCCAGGAGTTGGACTCCGTATTCCTTACAGGTCTGTTTCGACTCAGGAGATTCTCTGTCTCTGTTGGTATTGTTTTTGTTTATTTTTTTCCTAGACATTTTTCCTAAAAGCAAATATTTGGCATCTAACGTCAGAAAAATGTGAGCCGCTGAACAGCTGTGGAGGAAACAGAACGGATTTGAGGTGAAGAATGCCAGCTACAACTGGGATGGAGGGCGTTTCCCCACGGCCTCTTGGACTCCCTGCGTGTGTTTTGTGCTCGATTTCTTCTGTCAACTGGACCGCTATGTTCTCTGCGCAAACTTAACTCGTGTTTTGTATCTTCAGGTCACTGCAGCTTCAATATTTATTCTCATACAATTTATACTCGGCAGTGACTGGGTTCGGCGGCAATTTTTCACGGAGTAATTCCTCGGTGCCCTGCAGCACTATCGGAGTTCCAGCAGCCTGCCCGTGCCTTCATCCGGCCTCAGACCAGAGCCGTCCTCTGCCACTGCCGAGAACGCGATACCGCCCAACCAAGATGGCGGCACGCCGCGCTCCGCTCCGTATGCACGCATGACACCGGAAGCGGAAGCGCCTGGGCAGTTCCGGCGGAAGTGGCCGTCGTCCGGGGAGACGCAGCGCTGTGGAGGGAATGTGGCGGCTAGTGGTGCTGCTGCTGGCCGGGCTCGGCCGGGCCCTGCCGGAGGATGAGGGTGAGGATGGGGCCAGGCCGAACCGGCGGGTGAGTGCGGAGCTTTCGCCGGGACCGGGGCTGATCTCTCCTTCCTGGTGCAGGGGTGGTGACGGAGCCGGGCGCCGGCGGTTCCGGACCGATCAGCGGCGAAGCGGTGCGGTACCGGACGGCGGAGATGGCTGACGCGATGCTGGGCAGCGGACCGCCGGGCCGGCCGCCCGTGATGCTCTCAGCGGTGCCGGGAGAGGCGAGAGAAGGGCGGGAAGCGGAGGTTTGCGAGGCGGCGGCCGGCGGAGGGGAGTGCGGCGCTGGGAGCGGGCCCGGGGCTCCTCCCGCCGCGCCCGGAGCGGCCGTCGTGCTGGAGACTGTGCTCCCCGCGGGCGAGGAGCCCAACGGCACTGCCGAGAGCGTGAAGGCCCCCAAGGTGAGCTGCGAGGAGAGAAATGTTACCGGTATCAGCAACTTCACGGTGCAGATCCTGAACGTGTCCCAGGTGAGCGGCCCGCGGCATCGTGCAGCTCTGTGCGTATCGGGGGTGGGAAGCGTTAGTTTGTGTCTTTTAGTGCTTGACCTGGCTGGATTCTTTGTGTAATGGAGAAAGCTTGAGCAAGGGTTGCATCGTTACGAGCTGAAACAAATGGAACAACAGCTCAGTCCACAAGTATGTGTGTCTCGTGTGTGCGCTTGTGGTGAATTGTCAGCCTTAATGCTGTATAGATCCATATCTCTAGGGTTGTTTGTGGCACTTACAGCCAATACCAGTTACTGTATCTAGTGTGGCTCTTGTAATAGAGATGGCGTTTTTTCCGGAGGGGGGTTGTGTTGTATTTTTCTTCTTTTTAGTAGTTGTTTTAAAGTAACCTTTAAAAAGGTTAAACAAGCTGCCATTTCTTTCAAAAGGGTTAAACAATGATGTTTCTCATCATCAACTGTCTAATTGATAGCCTGGTGTGGTGGTTGGCATCCCTGCCCATGGCAGGAGGGTTAAAAGTAGATGATCATTACGGTCCTTTTCAACGCAGGCCATTCTGTGAGACGATTCTATGATTGCTGAATGATGCATTCCTACGTAGGACAACTTAATTAAATGTTTGCCTGTGTGTGTTATGCTCTCTCTAAGGATCTGATGGAGTTCTTAAACCCTAACAGCAGTGACTGTACGTTGGTCCTGTTCTATACGCCATGGTGCCGCTTCTCCGTAAGCCTGGCACCTCATTTCAATTCCTTACCTCGAGCGTTTCCCATTCTTCGCTTCCTGGCACTGGATGCATCACAGCACAGCAGGTAATCCACACTTCCTGTGCTCTGGTCTCAGTTTATTTACAATAGCAAGGTCTGTGTTTTAAAAGCAGCAGTGTTTTTTTAACAGTTTACTGTAAGCAGTTGTGTCTGTTTTCTTTGTGACTATAATGTTTCCACATTTTCTTCCTCTTGACAACTTTACAGGAAGGAAATGCTGCTCTGTTGGTAGCTTACCTGGAAATTGTGTTCTGTTAGCTGGCTTTTGGGTATCACAATTCTGAGGAGTGCTAAATATTCATTCACCTTATGCATATCCTTGGATAACAAAACCTGGATCCATACAGCACTTGTGTGCGTGGAGAAGAAACACTGCTGAATGTCATATAATTAATATAATTGATAAAGCAGTAAGCATCCCTAATGTCACAAGAAGTGGCTGCTTATTATTTTCTTATAAAGCGACTCATTTAGTGAAGCTGACACTTGCTGTGTTGTGGCTGCCTTTGTTCCTTTCTTCAGTGGATTTCTTTCCCTTCATGGCTTGTATGTGCTTTATGTTCTCCAGCTTATCAACTCGGTTTGGAACTGTAGCTGTCCCCAATATCCTCCTTTTCCAAGGTGCTAAACCTATGGCTAGATTTAATCATACAGACAGAACGCTGGAAACACTGAAAGACTTCATTTTTAATCAAACAGGTACGTAAAGCAGCACTGAAGTATCAATGGGAAGAACAAGTTGGCTTTTAGCTCTGTACGCAGCTTTCCTCTAATTATTGTTATTTATTCCTCTTATACTTTTATTTAACGTGAATCTGATTAAAAGCCTGAGAGAATCCAGCAGAGATTTGCTGTAGGAACTGAATTTGGAGGGGTACTGAAACCAGAAACTGACTGGGCTGCTTTTGCAGTGTAGAAGGAAATGGTGGGGTGTAAGGTAGAAGGATTGGGCACACCTTCATGCCCAAATCTTCCATTTGGGAGTGGGGGAACCTTGAGAAAGTTGCCAGTGCCATGCAAGGCTGAGAGCAGTTGGAGAATAAAACAAAAAAAAACTGTGCATGGGTATAGGAGAGCCTTCCTAAGAGGCCAGAAATGGCTGTATTTCCAAATGCAGCAGAGATGCTTGAAACACAACCCCACAAGCTTACAGAAAATTGTGTGGAATGACAGAACAATGCCTTTCCTGTTCATAAGCTGTGCATACACCTTGGTAGCTGTTCAGTTTTCCATAAGCAAACTGTATACTGGACGTATTAAAATCTAAGGACCAGCTCAACAAATGCTTAGGCCTGACTGTATGTGTGCCTTAATTTGAGACAGGAGCAGAGCTGCAAAGAGAACTTCTCTGTATTTAACGGCCGCTACTGGTGTTGATGAAGGATGTTCTTTTCCAGGCATAGAGGCTAAAAATGGTGTGACTGTGACAGAGGAAGACTGGAAGGGGCCTCTGCCCAGCGTTCTGACAAAAGGAGTAGACTGGCTGCTCGTGTTTTCCGTGCTCTTCCTGGCCAGCTTTATCATGTATGCTACCGTTCGGACTGAGAGCATTCGGTGGCTGATCCCAGGGCAAGAGCACGAACACCAGGAGTGATTGGAGGTGCTGAAGCAGGGACACAGTTTGCAGTGTGTGAAGCAGGTTTCGTGTGGAGTGGAAGTACTTAAGAATGAACCGTTGAATTTGTTGGTTGTCATTTATAGTGTTGATGGAAAACCAGCTTTGTTTACTAACTACTGAGTTTTTATAAAGCGAACTGAGGCAAAAAAAAGTGGTGAGTAAACTACTGTGGAGAAACACGAACTAAATAAGTATTTATTAAAGTGCTCTGACCTGTTTGCTTTTCGTGGACCTTAATGTAAATGTGTGATACCATTCTGCTTCACTTTTATGAAGAGATCTCTGAGCTCTGTAGATCTGCTGCAGCACATTGGCCTGCATATGTGGCAGCGCTTGGCTGGAGTGCAGGGTTGCTTCTGTACAGCTGAAATCTGGGAATCTTCTTTTACAAACCTAGAAATGTATGAGGTGGTGCTTCTGCACAGATTGTGGTCAACACATTGGAATTAGAATGTGTTTTTGGTTCGTGGATTCCAGAAATGAAGAAGTCTTCCAGGGATGTGCAGGTGAATGGTGGTGTCACTAAACCAGATTGTCAGTGAAATGAACTATGAAGAAGAGAGATATGTTTTAAAATCCAGTTCACTTCATTTGAGTTATCCTAATATCTGAAAAGGTTTTCCCATTAACTGCCTGTGTTGGTTTATACTTCAGGGGAGAGTCATGCCAGCAATTATAAAAATGCAGGTATTTGTTGTGCAGCTCCCTACAGGGTGACTGTTTTCCACCTTTGCTGCTGAGGTTAGATACGGGTTGTCTTGCTCCATGTTCTATGAGCCTTGGCTTGCTGGAGATGCAGCACAGATCAGTTTAGAGGGCTTTGCAAGGAGCACATATCCCTGAGAGGTGATCTCCGGGGTACCTTTTGGTGCTCATACCTCTCCTGTTGGGGAAGGGCAGGTCCTGTGTTCCTGTGTTAAGGCTGCAAGGATGAAACTGCTGCTACTGAAGGTCGAAGGGAGGAAGTACGTAGTTAATAAGCAGCAAGATGGAGAGCTCTTCTCATCGTTAAGAGGGGCAGACGGCTGCGCTCTCCCTGCTCATCACCTCCTTGCCTATCAACAGAGATGTCTTCATCTGATGGCTGCCGATCTATCTGAGGGCTGGGGTCAGGAGGAGGGAGCCGGGCTCGGCGACACGGCCAGGCACAGCGCACCGAGTGGAGCACAGAGCGTTCTGTAGCAGCAGAAATAACTCGTTTACAGTGAGGGTTGCAGAGCTGGGCACCCAGACTGCGTGCTCTCACCCGGTCCTACCCAAACCGAAAGCCCGACCCGCAATCCCCCCCCCCCCCCCCAGGGCTCCCTCTGTGCCCGCACGGCCGCCCCCGGTCCCTCCCCCTCTCCTCCCGAGGCGGGGCCGGATCGGGGCCATGCCGGGCGGTGGGGCCGCGCTGCGCCGGGCGCTGCTGGGAGCGGGGCGGCGCGGAGCGGGCGGCGGGAGCCGGGCTGCCATGGTGAGCCGGGAAGGGAGCGGGGGCTGCGCTGCGGGACAGGAGGCGAGGGATGGGGCTGGGGATGGGGCGGGGGGCGCGGCCGCCTCGCGTGTGCGGGATCTCATTGGTAACGGAGGAATCGCGTTGCGTGATGTTGACGCCCCCGCCCCATAAACGTTAGCTGCGGCGCGCTGGTTTGTTCTGCTGCTCCTCGCGTTTAGCTCTTCTGCCTGCTATTGATTGACCCGCGTTGTTCTGCGGCGTGAGCCGTGCAGCCCGATGGGTTCCGTGCTTCTACAACAGCTCTCTGGCAATTGCTTTTAACAGTGGCGATATCTGCATGTTTCTGGAGAGAAATGGGCGGCTCCATCGCCGCTCCCCCAGCGCTGCGGAAGTCGCGTTGTTCGCTCCGGGGGGAGAGAAGGAAGGAAGGAAGGGGGGGGGGGGGAGCGCGCTCCGCTCTGCGCTGCTCGGGCGGACAGCGCCACCTGGCGGCAGCGGCGGGGCGGACGGGGGCTGCGGGCGGGCGGACGGGGGCTGCCGTGCTGCCGTGCTGCCCCGCGCTTCTCAGCAAGTTGGACGAGTGTTTAAGGACTGAAGCAGCCTGAAAGGGACAGGGCTTTCCATCTAAGCATTGAGTTCATAATGTGAGTTTCAGATCAGTCTGTTCAGATGCAGGGTCAAAATCATCACCTGCTTGGTTATGTCTTTCCCAAGCAACCCGTTTGTGATTTTGTCTCTCCTGGATCTTTCCTAGGAGTAACAGGATGCACGCTGTGTACAATGCTATTTGCTTCCCTTGTGTATGCCTTTCACAATGCAGCTATTCTCCCCCTCTGCCCTTCAGCCTGTAATTGGACTTTGAGTGTTCTGTGAATAATCTGTTACCTACACAGCACAGCAGAATAGCTGGAAATTCATTCAAGTGTTACAGATCTGGATAGCTCAGGGGGAGGTGTGAGTGCAGGTGTGCTTCTGTCTATGCCTATCCCATGGACAAGCCCATTGCTGCACAGAGGCATCTGTCCCAGCTTAACTGCCCCGACAGAAGCAGCACTCCTTGACAGGAGTCAAGCTGGTTATAGGAATTATAAAAAGGAATGCACCGTACAGTGAATTTTCCACCTCTTGTGTCTGAAGCATCTTCCTCTCTGCAATATGTACTTTACAGAGAGAGTGGTGAGGTGTGGAACAGCTGCCCAGAGAGGCTGTGATGCCCCGTGCATCCCTGGAGGTGTTCAAGGCCAGGTTGGATGGGGCCCTGGGCAGCCTGGGCTGCTGTGAAATGTGGAGGTTGGTGTCCCTGCATGTAGCAGGGGGTTGGAGATTCGTGATCCTTGGGGTTCCTTCCAATCCTGGCCATTCTGTGGTTCTGTGAATATGTACCCATGGTTTCATGGCGTGGTTCTCTTGTTGTGCACAAGCAGCTGGGCCTTGCTGGGGTTGACACGCTCTGCTTTTGCCTCAGCAGTCTTCCCAGTCCCACTGGCTGACAGCAGAGGAGAGGAACCAAGTTCTGCTGGATCTCAAAGCTTCAGGCTGGTCTGAGTCAGGCGAAAGAGATGCCATCTACAAAGAGTTCAACTTCAAAAATTTCAATCAGGTAATTATTGCTATATCCCGTTTTTAATGTAGAGGAAATGTAATTGCTTTCATTGCCATGCAGTCCTGATGGGAAAACATTTGTAGGTGGAACTTTGGGAGTACCTTTGTAGGGCCAAGCCCTGTCAGATTTGCCTCAGTGAATTGTTCTCTGACTCCAGTCTCATTAGGTGGGGTAAATTAAATCCGTTTTGTAGTTGTTAAGTAGATTTATTCTAATATCATAATTTCTTGATGATAATAATGGGGCCAAGATCAGTGTCGGTATTATGGGATTAGACAAATAATACTGGATCCTGATTTGTTTTTTTTTTTTTCTTTGTTACTAATGCTCCTAAATTGGTGCTAGAAAAATGTAACTGTTGGAGAGTGGGGTTCAACTGAGGGAGGGGAAGGGAAAGAAATGGGTAAATGTAAGAGCACAAACTTTTGGGAGGTGAGGTGGGGAGAGCAGGCCGTGTTTCACCTTCCCAGCTGGAAGCTGGCGGCCGATTGCCGATTCAGTGAATCCTCATCGCTGCCCTTGCAGATCCCAGCTGCTTTTTCTTCTGGGCAAAGTCAGAGAGTTACAGTGTGTTAATGTTTAATTTGTAGGGATGAGATGGTTTCCTTCCAGAAAACAGCAAAGCATGTGGAGGGGATGGAGGATGCCAAGCCCTGGCTGCTGCTCTCCTTGGCTGCTCTTCCGTCCTGAGTATTAACGTGGGGCAGGCAGAGCTGTGGCAGGCAGCACAGGGAGGGTCCATGGGAGAGGGCTGACGTGAACATCTGGGGCCACGAGGTCCCCTGCAGGTCCTGCAAGGTGGGTGAAATATCCCACGTGAGTGCAGAGGATGTCTGTGTTACCGGCGAGGCATGGTGTGCCCTGCTGTTGCAGGGGAAGCATTGGCTGTAATGCAACAAAACAACCTGGTGCACCTCTGCTTCTTGGTGCTTGTATTTCTGATAGCTACACATAAATGCTGTGTTTGTTATGATTTAGGGAACAAAGGACAAAACTGAAGCTATGGACCCGCCTTGTGCTTGGGAGAGTCATCCTGCAGTGAAGACAAAGAACTTTTAGATACAAAATCTTCTATTTCAGTTAACACTGTTTGCAGTACTGACAGTGTAGAAGTCAGGGCACTGAGAAGTGCCATTTCCACAGCAAACTCACCTTTGCTCTTCTGCAGATGGCACAGAGTCAGGTGTGTTTGTAGGCAGCGGGGCTGACATGAGCGGTACTCCAGATTTACGTTTTGCAGATGATATTGGTTTGATTAATGGATTCGTTGCCTCTTTTACTGCCTCTCACAGATAATGTTTGTGATGCATGGAAAGTTCTGTGGCTTTAAAATGGATGCCAGGTTTACAAAGTCTGTATATGTCAACAGATGTTAAGAATATAAACACAACTTTTATTATAAAGTCGTGCAAATGTGTAGACATGAACTTGGTTTATGTATATTATTTTCAGCATGAGGATGAAATGAAACTTCTGTGAAATGAGAGTTATTTGGATTCCTGAAGCTTTCAGGCTGAGATTAGCTTGGTTAAAAGCCATCAGAGCCAAGCTGCCTATTTAACAGCTGACAAGCTAATGACACTTCTGGCTTAGGGAATTACTTTGTGACATGGAACTTGAAACTGCTGATGCTGTTTGTTAGTCTGAAGATACATTTTCATGGAAATAGGCTTTGGAGATGCAGCTCTGGGAAAGGAGCTGGAAAGCAGCCTGAAGCTGTGGCTGGGAGCTCTGTGATTGCTCTGTGCTGTGGGCACCCACTGCACACTGCTGAGTCCTGCTGGGTGCACCTGGTTCTGCTGCTGTGGTGCATCCAGGGAGGCCGGGCTGAGGGCTGGGTTTGGTCCTTCAGCCCTGTGCTCCTGTCTCCCATGACTTCCCCCAGAACCTCTCTGCTGCTCCTTGGTTCCATGTCCCTTCCCCAGACCCACAGCGATGTTGCAGCACTGGGTTTGGCCTCAGGGCTGGGGAGGCAGTGTGCAGCATGGAGGCCTTCCTTTGGTCAAGGCAGAAAATGCCACTGGGAGATGGCAGGGGTGGGCACGCTTGGTGATGGCCAGGTTCAGTATTTACAGCTGTCCTCTTTTACAGGGTAAGCTTTTGGTTGTGTTGGGTTGTTTGTTCGCTTTTCAGATCTCACATAGGAAGTCTCCATAAGGCCTCTAATGTCATTTTGTAAAATGACAGGAAATCAAACGCTCTATGACTTCTCAATGCGTTTTCTGTTTTGGGGACACAGGACACAGGTGAGGGATGAGCCTGAGCGGAGGTGACAGCATGGAGGACGATGCGTGGGGGGAATGGAAGCACGTGTGTTTGACTGCACTGGGGGAGGCTTCTTTTATAAGAACTTGCAGAAAATCTAGAGCTGCTCTGTAAGTGCATCTCCTCATTTTGCTTGCCTGCTGCTACCTGCGCCGCAGAGTTGCTGCTGCTCCCAGCACATTGCTCTGTCCTCCACGCAGATCAAAGATCGGAACGTTTGCTTTTAGGCAGTGGGTTTCATTGCCTCTTTATGGACATAATCTTTTGGCTGTTTGTCTGAAATACGTCCACGCCTTCTGCGTATTGAAAGCATAATAGCCTTTAACCTACAATCTGCAGAGCTAAAATGAGTTTTATGTAAAATATTCGGTTGTGGGCCACATCTCCAGCTTTTTATGTGCCACAGTGGTCTTGTTTTTTGGGGGCTTTTTTTTTTTTCCTTCTCCATTGTCTGATAGTGAGGTCATTTTCAGTCCTCTGAGAAATGTTATTCCCAGCCAGATGCGGGCCATATATTAAAAGTAGCACCTGTGGCTAATATCACAGCAGCTTACCATAAATTTACATGGTAACTAGGATTATATCTGTCAAGACTGTTAAAAAACGTCTAGATTTAATTTGATTTCCAGTATTGAAGGAGCTCTCCGACATTTTGCTTCATAACTGTATTTTAAAAGTTAAAATCACTCCATTGTTAAGTTTTATAGCACTCCCAGTGCCCATTAAGTTGATTTGTTAAATGGAGGTCAGAATAAAGCAAGTTGGCTGCATTAGGATCGGAAACCAACCCATTTGCCACAAATTCAGCCCTTGCGTGTGAATCTTCCCTCATCCCGGGCACTGATTGGTTTCAGGTGCTTAGCCTGGAGGATGGAGCAGCCCCAGCCCCTCCTTGGCAGCTTTGGGAATCAAAAGATGAGGCCCTTTTCATTTGTTTGGGTGGAATTTGCTGCTTTTAGTGTCGCATTTGTCCGCTCGCCCCCTCTGCCAGGGCTTTGAGCTAGGCTGCCTGTTGAATGAAAAGACTTGATGGGTTTTTTTATCCATCTCGGTAGGTGCTGTTTTTCATATACTCCTTCCTAAACCGCTTCATTTTCCATTATCCTTTGAGTCCTCTCCCATATGCCATGATTTGTGCACCTGCAGAGTTATGAAAGTATTTCTTTTGGTAGTTATGTTGTTCGCTAACTTCCTTACGTTTATGAATACAATAACTGATTTGCAATAAATCAGGATTATTTACAAGGGACTTTACGGACTTGAGAAAATCTTTGTATCTGAAAATAATGAATTTCTGGCATATCTGCCTGCTGACGTTTTCCTTTATTAGAAACTGATAGTGACATTCTTGGGACTGGCAGAGGTTAACTTTGGGCTAAAACAGTGTGAGTGAGGTGGTGTGAGTGTCGGAACAGGGTGAAGTAAGCATGTGCTATTGCAATAAAGCAGCTTCCTGGGCTTTGTGCTCCTCACTGACTTGGTGGATAGCACCTGTGCCTTGGGATGGTGGGTCAGGGTCCAGCTGGGGGTTTGGGACCCCATCTGTCCCTCCACTCCTCCATTTCTCCATCCATCCACTCCTTTAACAACTCACTTGGCAGTTGGATCCTTTGCAACCTTAACATCCTCCATCCCTGGCATTAGAGGTGATGATGCTCTGCTCAGCACATCCTGCTTCCAGTAACCTTTCCACCTACCCCGCAGTGAGTATTTTTTTCTCCTGATGAGCAATACTGCAGAGCAGGTGGAAATATGCCACTGGGTTGCATCTAGGCAGAAATGAAATCCTCAGTGCTGGAAGCTGGGAAGTACTGCGTTTCTTTTCATATGGCTAGCAGGGTACAAAAACATATGTGCTGTCAGTCGGTGCTCTGGGATGTTTTCAGACTCATGTTTTGCACTTGGGGACATTTTTTCTGTGTTGAATGGAGTTGCCTTAGTGCATCACCCGCCCCTTATGTCTTTGAAAGTCCTTCCCAGTTCAGCCTTTCTCTCCATGCCTGGGTAACTGTGTTGCTGTAGAACCTCCTGCATGTTAGCCCTGCTGGCAGCTATGTGTTGCTACCTGATGCCGTCCCCTGCCCATAGGAGCAAACTGCAGTTAGGGATGCTCATGTTTTGGATGAGCTAAGTTGTGGCTCCAGAACACGAACCCTTGGTTTGCTGTCTGGAATTGTTGCGTTTCCCATCACTGCACGTGCCGTGCTGAGCAGACCTGTTGTGTCTCAATGCTGACATCTGCCCAGCCGACCTTCAGGCTGCTCTCCAGCTGCCTCCAGTACAAGCACTTCCTTTGAAAAGATGGATTCATTACCGCTTTGAAAGGACTCATTACACCATTGTTTCAGGCATTAAGCTGAAAGCGCAAAAAGAAATAATTTGTCAAAACACCGTTTGGGTTTTCCAACCCGTCCTGCGCCTTGGGAACAGAAGAAATGCTTCTCCCTTTCTTTCAGCAGTTGTGGTGTGTGCCACGATTGCTCACTCTGCATGGATTAAGGGCACAAACGTTGCACCAACTGCAGCTGCACCCTAAGGCAGCAAATGTGAGCAGGTTGTGTTTGTTCCCTGCAGCCTTCCCGGGGTCCGACTGCGCGCCTCTGTGAGGGGAAGCAAAGCGGGCTGGTGCTGCCTCTTCCAAAGATGTCAGCCAGAATATTGGGTTACTTGCAGTTAACGAATCCTCGTGTCTTGTAATTCCTCATGCATTAGGATTTATTTTTATGGGGGTG